CTTGCCACATCACTGTGTAGTCAAACCGGGTAAAACCACAACGAAAGTCCGCATCGTGTACGATGCCTCGGCCAAATCCAGCAAGGAGCAAAAAAGCCTCAATGAATGTCTGCTCAGAGGGCCGGTCCTTCTTCCAGACTTAGCTGGTTTGCTACTTCGATTCCGCATGCATGATATTGCCATTGTTAGCGATATCGAGAAAGCCTTTCTGCAAGTTGGCCTCGCAGAGGCAGACCGAGATACAACGCGGTTCCTGTGGTGGGATGACTTGAATGGGCCTTGCACCAAGGACAATCTTGTCACTTATCGGTTTTGCAGGATACCGTTCGGGGTAATCTCCAGCCCATTCCTGCTGAGTGCAACTATCAACACGCACTTAAAACGAACAGACAACGAAATTGCGAAGATGATTCTCGGTAACACGTACGTCGATAATGTTATTGTTGGAGCCAATACAGTAGATGAAGCCAAACGTATTTATGATGAAACAAAGCAAGTGTTTACTCAGGCGTCCATGAACCTCCGTGAATGGGCTTCGAACAATTCCGACTTCCTCTCTCACATTCCAGAATTTGACAAAGTTTCCGACACGGTTATGACCGTACTTGGTATGGAATGGTGTACACCCACCGATCAGATTTCGTTGGTCGGTCATGACGTTGAGCACGTGATCGTTCGGACCAAACGCCAAATGTTGCAGGTCATCTCAAAGTTCTTTGACCCAATGGGCCTGCTATCTCCCATACTGTTGCAACCGAAAATCCTGATTCAACACCTGTGGAAATTGAAATGCGACTGGGACGACATCCTCCCAACAGAAATTATAAATAAATGGAAAGAAGTCACAGGTGATCTAAAGCAGATCCACGAAATTCAAATTCCGAGACGGATGACAGTCGCACACTCAGGGGCAGTCACATACACACTTCACTGTTTTTGTGATGCCTCTCACACCGCATATGCAGCGTGTGTGTACCTTGCGGTTGTCAACAAGCAGTCAGGTTGTGACTCTTGTCATCTTGTGTTTAGTAAAACCCGCCTAGCCCCCATCAAGGAATTAACAATACCGAGACTAGAATTAATGGCGGCCTTGATCGGTATTCGGTCGTTACGATTTGTAGTCTCACAATTGAATTTCTCGGAACAACCCAGACTGGTGCTGTGGTCTGATTCGCAATGTGTGTTACATTGGATCAAGAAACCTGAAAAACACGGTACATTTGTGGACCGGCGCTTGAATGAAATCCGGTCTCTGTCGTCGGTTGAGTACCGGTATGTGGACACAGCTGAAAACCCCGCAGACACTCCTTCTCGCGGGGCCACTGTGGACACACTGAAAAATAACAAGAACTGGTGGCACGGGCCCCAGTGGATTAACAATGAGAAAGGTTGGCCATCGGTGTTGGTGATTCCTGCGAACACCGTGGAGTTGGAAAAGTCTGCCAACACCTTACTGGCGGCGGCGGAGGGTCCTACGGAGAACCCAATGATAATGAATTTAGAAAGGTATTCGTCTTGGGGAAAACTGATACGTGTCTCAGCATATGTTTTGAGAGCCATAGAATGTATGCGTGGTAATAAATGTAATGGGTTTCTCACATCAAAAGAAATCAAGAATGCTACAATGGTCTGGCTACGATATTTGCAACGTACGGAATTTCCAGACACGCTCAAGTTAATTCAGAAGGGAAAGCGAAATGATCTACCCAACAAACTCGGCCTGTTCATGGATGAAAACGAAATAATGCGGTGCAAAGGACGGCTGGAAAATGCAAATATACCGCTACGGTCTAAATTCCCAGTCCTAATACCCAAACACGGAATAATCACAACTTTGCTAATTGAAGAATGTCACAAACGGCTAATGCATGGCGGTGCGAGTCATACACTGATGTTACTTCGTACTGAATATTGGGTACCGCAAGGACGGTCAACGGTGCAGCGTATCCTTAAACAATGCAATGTATGTCGCAAGGCAGAGGGTGGCCCATTCAAAATGCCACGGCTGGCACCCCTACCACGCGATCGGTTAACTACATCATGTGCCTTTTCGTATACCGGCTTGGACTACTTTGGGCCAATGTACGTGAAACAATCAGGAGTAACTACTAAGGTATGGGTTTGCTTATTCACTTGCCTAACTACTAGAGCAGTACATTTGGAATTAGTCGATGACATGACTGCTGCTGCATTTATGCTTGCATTGAGAAGATTTGTTTCAAGACGAGGAACACCCAGTCGAATATTGTCGGATAATGCATTGCAGTTTAAAGTGGCTAAGGAAGCAATAGAACTATTGTGGGATACAATTTCGCAAGATGCAGATGTACATTCATACTTAAGTGCTACTGGATCTAGGTGGACATTCATTGTGGAGCTGTCCCCTTGGATGGGTGGCATCTACGAACGAATGGTGCAGGTCGTTAAGCGCGCCCTGCGTAAGTCAATTGGTCGAAAATGTTTGTCCACAACGGAATTAACCACTGTTCTTGCAGAAGCAGAAGCAATAGTCAATACGCGGCCACTATTGTATGTGGGAGACATGGTGGATGGTGACGATATCCTCACCCCATCTCATTTTGTAACGATGAACCCCAGGCTAGGCATGCCTGCAATTAGTGTAATGGACGATACTGACTATAATGAACAGCAAAGCTCGGCGCAGACTTTGGTGGAAACGTATCGCGTTGGTGCCACTATCCTTTCCAGCTTTTGGAAACTGTGGCAGACCGGCTATCTGAGTAGTTTGCGTGAACGTGGAAGTTACCGGCTGCCCGAGAAGCGAGGTGCCGTAGAGCGTGAGCCAAGTACAGGGGATATCGTACTAGTGAAAGAGGAAAGGATGCCACGCGGCACTTGGAAAATTGGGAAAATTAACAAAATACACCGGAGCAACGACAATAATGTAAGGTCAGCAACAGTTGAATTGCCAAGCGCCAAGACGCTAAGGCGACCACTCAATTTGCTGTACCCGATGGAACTGAATATTAATAATAATGGAAAAAACAATGAAAAAAACGATTCGGCAAACAACGGTTCGGCGGACGGCGGCACGGTAACAAACAACAACGGCGCTGCAGATAATGATCAGCAGCTAATCCAAAATGACGGCGGTACAGTGCACGGCGGCACAGAAGTGAAAGCAAGAGGCAAGCGGCAAGCGGCCAAGAAGAGTATGGAACAGTTAAGACAATTGATTGTGTCGGATTCAGTTTAGTTTAATTATTTGAGCATGCATGTTTGTCCTAGTACCTAGGCTTGCTGTTCTCGGCGGGAGTGTCGCAATATGTGCGAATGTCGGACTGTCAATATTTGAATACATGTTACGAGTGCAATTTGAATTTACAGTATTTACAATTTGTCTTTACGTCGCACTCTTACCTAAGGTATATCCCAGGAGCGATAGGGTCCAGGTCCGCTGCCCATAGCTAAGTTCTAGGTATAGTAAGTATTTGTAGTAAGGTAGCTTGACACATGACTAGCTTCGCTCTATAATCTTGTTCTGAAATGAATTGCATGTGTGGAATTATTTGATCTCTTCGATCGAACTGTCGATTTATTTGAACTGCATTTTTCTGATTTATTTATTTCCTTTTTTTGCATGCACGCACTGGCAGCGCTCCATTGCAGCCGCGATACGCGATCGCGGGATCGCTACGCGCGTACGATGCACTTCCCAAACTGGCTGGCTTTTGCACGCAGCAAAATCATGATAATCTATTTTTGGTTTCACATTTTTTGCACACAGTACGCTGGCACGGCATGCGTACGCTGCCGTGCGAGCGAATCCTTTTTCGGAGCGCTCTGTTGTAGTGCTTCGTGTCCTTCTCTCGGTAGTTTTCTCTCTCCAAGCAGTGTTCTTTATGTGGTGAAAGAAGTGACAACGAACCAGGTCTCTCTCCCATCTTGAAGTTGTCGCGGCAGCTGCTGGCCAGCTGTCCGCGACAGTGTGTGCATGATTGTACAAGTATAAAGTGAAGTGTTTTACCACACCGACCAAACGTGTGCCTGGGCTTTCTTCGAAGGCCTGCCACGTTTGGGACGCAGTTTCCGAGCCTCATCATTCAGCATGTAAAGCGGGATATGCTGCTTGTTACGTGCGTTTAGATGTTGAAGGGTCCTGCCAACGTACCGGCTACCACATTGCCGGCACTCAATTTGTTTTACTAACTTTGATAGAAGGTGGGTTGATAGGACATCCTTCCTCACCATGAACGCACGCCTCATTGTGGAAACTGAGACGATGTTGACGGCACAATAGGTTTGACGAACTACGTTTCTAAGCGTACGGTACAAAGATGATGAAATATTGCCTTTCCAAGGGAGAGAAAGGTATACCGGGCATTTCATTGGGCCTATGATGACATCTTTACGCATGGCTTCTTCTTGCATGAGTTGATGTAACAACTCATCCGGGTATGTGTGTGTGTGTGTGTGTGTGTGTGTGTGTGTGTGTGTGTGTGTTGTGTGTGTGTGTGTGTGTGTGTGTGTGTGTGTGTGTGTGTGTGTGTGTGTGTGTGTGTGTGTGTATCCCATATGGTGCAGTGGTATGTGCAACGATTTCCAATCGATAGGTTGCGGGTTCGATTCCCGACGATTATGGTCACACACGTCTTTCTTCTCTTTCTCAGACTCTTCCTGACTTTTCTTTCATTCTCCTGGGTGGTTACCAACAGCCAGTGCAAGCCAGAGTATGTGGTGTGATGTGTGTGCGGGAAAAAATAATAATAAAAAAGACCAAAAAGTAGGGATTCACTGGCCAGAAAAAGCCACTTCATAGCTGTTTGGTGTAGACCAGGCTGAATAGTGGCGGTCAATTCTTCAGCCTTGCAAGCTGTTGAATGGTGCAATCCCAGCACAAGCTGCTATGGCTTCTGCTGTAGCATCGCTATCATCGCCTCCGGCGATGGGCGTCCAATGGTCCAATGGTGTGAGTGTGTGTGCGTGCATGCGCGTGCACATTTGTGTGTGTGTGTGTGTGTGGCTGTTGCTGGTTTCAGGGCACGTGGACCTGGCGTTTTAATCGCATTCCGGAGGAAGTGCAGAGACTGCGTAGCTGCTCAGTGCTGTTGTTCGTCATCACGTCAGAGACACGCAGCGCTGCATCAATGGTGGACGCGGCTACACACATAGGCTTGCAGCTACCACACCAGAGCATCATCATGTTTATCGAGGTATGACTAGTGCTTGTCTTGGTATAGGTTATCGTTGAGCTCTCAGAGCTCTCGGCGAAAGGCTTTTGCTGAGAGCGCAATGGCTCAACAATTGGCTATTAATTAATTCCTTTACTTTCTCCCCTTTGTGCCAGGGATCTGTGTAAGCCTTTCTCATTGTCTGTAAACTCCGATGCAGCCACTCACACATGACTAACTCTTCACTACTCCAACTACCAAAATGGTCTCTTCACTGAGAATGTCATTACATTTCACCAAATGCTCAGGCCTGGGCCATCATATTTTTACCCCTATAATGGGACAGGCCCTGCCCCAAAATTTGGTGGAATGCTATTTGCAGTGAAGAGACTGGTTTTGGAATCGGAAAACTGAAGAGTTAACAACGGTATCAGTGTAGGTACTACATCCGGCAAGCGAAACTTGCCGCATTTTATTTTATTCCCGTAGCTATGCAGAAGATGTTACTTCAGTAACGTCTGGCGCTAGCCAGGGTCCACACAGCTTTAATTTGGTGTTTGTGTCACGCCTGGCGCTATCCCGTATCTGTCCCGTACCGTACCGTACCAACAAACACAGCTGGCCACATACTGCTGGCCGCAATATTCAAATAGTGCTTTCAAACGCAAGATCATAACGTGAAGCAACTTGGAAGAATGAGTATGAATGTGAAGTGTATCGGGGGATGCATGCAGGGCGATAGTGCGGGTTCGAATCCCAGGTCATGTCTAAAAAAAAAGGAAATATTTACTTCCTCCGCGTCATCGAAATTGTCGCAGTTTGACTTTTGATATAAAACGGGTTTTTTACTCACCAGCACTCGTACCAGAGGCAAGGAATCGGACATAGGCGACGGTCATCAGTATAGGGTGACGGCAAAGTTCTATTTTCTGTTATTGGAAGCTGGAATTTTTGAACTAGACGCAATTTCTTCGCTGATGTCGCTGCGATGGTAATTTCGACTCGCTGAGATCAGTCAGGCGTTGCAGCCTGCACATATCTCGTGCTTATGGCCATTCACTCAAGCCTCATCACTGTTTTACCTTAGCTGGGGTGAGAATGACTTCGTGGAACAAGTGGCAGCGCTTGGAGAAACATCGAGGGGTCAGCAAACTAAATGCCTTCACCAGCGATAAAATTTGTCGCTCTGGCCGAGACACTCAGTACATGATTGTACCTGCAAGAGCCGTGTAGACTCTACACGTAGTGCTAGTGTCTGTACTAGTGATGCACACGCAGGTGCCGTACCATGATACCAGTGAATCAGGGCCGGGCCGGCAGTGATGCTGAAAAAGAGGGCGCGCTGGACGTGATAGTACACTTACCTGCATGAGCTGTGCATGTGACCACACAGCTAAAATAAATGGGCATGCCGCGGCTAAAAAAAGTTCATTTCAAGATCGAGGTGATTCCGCCGACGGTAATCAACCGACCTCGCAACGATCGTGTATTCTTACTAGGCTTCGTTGGTGGTGAAGTAGAAATCATCCAGAGCTAGCAGACGACAAGCATAGCAGCTCTTGTCCTGTGGAGAAAGTCAAAGCGTTTGAATTGAGGCGCGATCAACTTTCAACCTTCCTTGAAATTTTTCGGAACGATATTTTTGCGTCCATTGACATCAGCGACGACGAGGACTTCATCTCTGCATGAAAACTCTCAGTCCAACTGTCCTGGAACGTCACTCTAGTCTTCAGACTATCATACTGTGTAATAAGTTTTGAATAGCTTAGCTTATGGAGTTGTCAGTAACAAGTGACAGGTCACTAGTCAAACTGCGACAATTTCGATGACGCGGAGGAAGTATATGAATTTATAACATCCGTATGCTTTTTTTGTCAGGGTCATCAAGGCAAAAAGGCATAGCGTAGGGCCCTGAGCTTCCAAGTTCTCTCGTTTCAATCACTCGACATAACTCACACTTGAAGATCGAAAAATAAGGATTGATTCACTGGAATGTAACTTGTTATAGCTCAACAAGGATATTAAAATTTAGAGACATAACTTCATAAGTCAGTCTGAATCACTCCCGTCTGATTTGGAGGTCGCAGCTTCTGGCGGAGAGGAATTGTCACTGACGTCGGACGAAAGTGCACCTAGATCGCATTCAGCTTTAGCAAGCGCAGCCTCTGCTATGACTATTCAGCGACTCTCAATGTCACTCCGATGTGCCGTCCGCGAGCCACGACGTTGAAGGTAGTCATTTCCACCACCACTCTCCAGAATGCCGTGGTACAAAATGTGCCAACACCGCCACACGGACTCCATCTTTTCGGCAGGGTATTCTCACCAACAGTCCAAAATTGCCGCCAGCAATTCCTGGCAATTTTCCTTCGCTACGAGACATACATCGCTCTGGAGGCTATTGAAAAACGCCAGGTCGTTTACATTGATGTCTGAACCCTGTGCTGGCTGAGTGACCACGCAGAGAGAGAGAGAGAGAGAGAGAGAGAGAGAGAGAGAGAGAGAGAGAGAGAGAGAGAGAGAGAGAGAGAGAGAGAGAGAGAGAGAGAGAGAGAGAGAGAGAGAGAGAGAGAGAGAGAGAGAGAGAGAGAGAGAGAGAGAGAGAGAGAGAGAGAGAGAGAGAGAGAGAGAGAGAGAGAGAGAGAGAGAGAGAGAGAGAGAGAGAGAGAGAGAGAGAGAGAGAGGACCCCTTCGTTTTGCTTTGACAGGCGAAAGCACCGTAATTCTCCTTCGCAGTATAGGGACGTGCACCGTCGTTCTGGTGCAGGAGAGACTGGCCTGCCTCAGCACACGGTGTCCGTCTGGTACGTGAGAATTGCCATGTGCCACTCACCAGTTCGCCGCTTGGCTGCCTGCACCTGGATCCATCGAGGTAGTACGTCACAGCCTTGTGCAAGTTGTGGTGCCACCACATCTCTTTCACGCATGGCCTCAAATACACCAACCTTGGCGATGATTTTCTTGTGATAGGCGCTGGGATCAGCTGTGGCACCTTCAAGAGTTGTCGTTTGTCCGGCTACCACTCCAGTTCTCCTGTCACTGCGCTTAGCTAACCTCTCAACAGTGAAGCTCCACATGCTGTTGAGCCCGTCGAATCCGTATTCAGGTCGTGGACGGGTGCAGACCGAGAGTACCGAAACCTTCGGCATTCTACTCTTGTGATACATTTTGGGACTGCGAGGAAATCGGTACTGACCCTGTTGATCAGGAAACAAGCAACATATCTGACTGTCCTTCATGATATAAAACCATTTCTCGTCCCCGTGTGCTGAGTTCCAGAAATCAGGTAAGCGCTGAGTGGAACGGTCCACCTGGTTGAGAACAAAGTTCAAGTGATCCTTCTTGTGGGTGCGAGTCCGTTTTGACATGAAGTGCCGCCGCTTCCGTACCATTTGCAGAGCTTTCTTCCATGCCTGGACCATCTCCCGTGACACATCAATCCCGTCCCCTTTCACTTTACCAGCCAATGGTTTGCAGGACAACTGGTCCCAGAATTTGTTGTTGACTGTAATGAGTCGGGTCGCCGCTTGTTCATCAAATTTTAAATATCAACCTCCACATTCCTTCCTGTTCCGTAACCAAGTGATCTGTTCAATAGATCGCCCATCGCTTGTTTTGTTCTCGAAACCACTTTAGCTGTCTGACTATGGTCCTTCGCTTGATGTTCTGGCTAGGGAAGTCATGACGAAGCTGGTCCAAAGACTTCTTTGTGAGGCGGCCACCTTTGGTGAGAGCGTCGGCGCGAAGTGTGATGTTTTTCGAGCGGGCGTTTTGATGTCTTGGAGCGCTCTTCGAGCCTTTCTAGGTGTCTCAAGAGAGGCGGTGCCTGCTCCAAAACAGTTGCGGCTACTTCACGAACACGTCTCCTCATTGTCTACAAAAAATATACCTAGCGAAGGGCGAAGGATTAAGTTCAATATAGCGGTTGAAATGTTGACCGGTTCAACGGTGCGTTATTTTCGAGAAAAACGTGCCAAGTTTTGCTTGTCGGAGGAAGTATAAGTAATACACCCAGGCACAGCAGTGTCAATGCTGGTAATGACCCAGCAAAAAGCATGCCACAAAGGGCACTAAATGATGCCGTGAACAAAACAACTCCAAACCCAAGAGAAAGTTCCAACAATGTACTGTTAGATATCTCCTTCCGTACATTCTACAGCCTTTCCAGCTGGCCTGTAATGTTGTATGCAACCCGTACATACTCACCTTTTGTCCCGTTGGCCTGGGTAGCTACTTGCGTGCCCATATTTGCCATAGCTACCCAGGCCCTTTATCTTGCACTTTTTCTCTCTCTCTCTCCTTCTCTCTCTCTTTCATAATGTAGTCGTTTAGTTCGTCTTTTTCTCCATCTCTCCGTCTATACTAAATGTCTTCCCACTGCTAGTAGCTATCACAAGTAGTTCCGTTGTCTCCGGGAGTTTGACTACTTTCTCAACAGCACTGTGAATGAACAAAATTTCATAGTGGGCTTATATCTATTTTCGGCGATTTTGGCCTGAACCTTGGAGACCTACAAAATGTTGCGGCTGGTGGCTGAGCGGAGAGTGCAAAGTCCATTAAAAATGGGCACTAGCATCATCATACAGGCGGCGGTAAACAAAAACAAACAATTTTTAAAAGGTTAAAGTGAAGTTCCAGAGGTACAACCACACTCCACGTCGCTCCAACTGCCTCCCAGTGTTAGACAAGCTCCAGATATGCCCAAATTCCGTACCCTCGTCAGACAGCACTTCAGTATCTCCCAGTGAACAAAGTCACAGTCCCCACTTCCGCTGCATAGCTCGCTGAGCATCCCATTGCTTTGTAAGTTGCTAATCCCTTCCCACTTTGTGTACGTGCTCTTCATTTTCTTTTTTCTCTTCTTCTGTGGTTGGTCTCACCCTCTCCTCAATTTAATTGGCTGTCTTGACATGCCACGAGGTGCAGAAATAAATAAATAAATAATAAAATAAAATAATACAACACTAGATATCATCAAACAGTCGTTGGAACATGTGTACGGGAACAAGCCAAAAACTCTGCGGACGGCCAGCGTGCTGGCCCACAGAAGTCTCTGGTGTAGCGTGGTGCACAAACAACGAACACATGCTGCGCTGGCATTGTCAAGGTATATGAATATACACAGCTTCCAACACCTACACTTGCTTACACGTCGTTAAATCAGCAAATAGCAAATCAGCACATAGATTGAATAAATGAGAATTGAGCCGGCTCGATTTCATCCTAACTCTCAACTGCATGCTCTGACATGTACCCGTGGTTGTAGGATATTCCTTGCGATGGCGTTGTGGACGGCGAGACGCTGACGGCAACGGCCGTCAAAGATTACAACCGCGGCCGGGCGTATCTACGCGACGTCTGCAAGGAGAAAAACGTCCCGCAGTACAAGAGCATCATGACGGCCGTCAAGTCCTGCGTTCAGCTAATCAAGACCGGCTACTACATACGCGCGTAGCAGCGTGGCATAACGATGTGGCAGCTGTACGGGCGGCGAGAGTGCCCGCGACATGGCAGCGTGGAGTGCAAAGCCACGGTGGTGCGTGTCTGACCGGCCTCCAGGTGATGCGCAGTGTGGCATTGAGTGCAGTATGGCATGTGATCAGGTTAGTGTGTCCAGACGAACACCATGTTGCTCTGCAGGTTTTGGGACATTTCTTCTTAGTAGTTTTACCTTCTCCGGAAAGCAAAAAAAACATCGTAACCTTTTTATTCACATTCTGCATGCGACGGCTTCCCGCGCTCGCTTCAATAGCTCTTTGAACCTTGCGTCCGTTTCAGGTTGCGAATGATCTTTTGTGCTCGTACTGCATAGTCGAAGGAGTGCCTGGTGCTAGCTCTGTGACTTGCGTTAATATCACCACTTCACTGTTCTCACTAGTATTCAAAGAAATTGTACTCCGGCCTTAAATGTTCTTCTTGTGTCATCACCTACAAGTACAGATAGGAGTGTTGTGCTAACGTTACTTCTTCCTTTCCTTCTTCTTTTCTTCTTTTTACGTATAAAACAATAGTCCCAAGATTTCTGCACTAGAACATTGCACTGAACCTTAACTTCAATTGTCCTTTGCTTACTGTTGGCCCTATGAGTGAACGAGAAAGGAAAATTCAATGACGTGAACCCTAACATGTCTTGGTCTGCATCTCCTTCGGCTTACATGTCTTGGTCTGCATCTCCTTCGGCTTGTTGTACAAATCACATTCCCTACTTGAAGCCAGAAATTCAAAACATCAAATTGACATGGACAGATTGGAAAAGATTCCTCCCAAATTGAGGTCATTTTGTTGAACAACCGTCGACTGTGGCATAATGCTTTCCATAACCAAATCAACGTTCTTTAACAAAGATATGTGTATATTATGCATGTGTGAGCCACGGCCTGCACCGGATATCTCTTCAGGAAAAAAACCTGTGACCTGCATGTCCCGTAATCTCGCGCATTTAAGGACATGTTCTTATTTTTGAATATAAGAGCACTCTCGCTTATAAGAACATGCAGTTGTAAGTGAATGAAATCACAATTCACACGAGGTTCATCATGGTTCCATTGTACTGGCATTAACCATTTAAAAAGTATGCGTACTTGCACATGTACGTGTCGATGCGATGTTTGTCTCTCGCACATAAGACCATGGTTTTATGATCAAACGAAAATGGACTCGTGGAACGGGACTGAAAACAGCGACTTTTCGATTGTAAGACCATGGTTTTTATATGCGCGAGATTACGGTACATTGTACTGTTGCCCCCAACGCCAGATTACTTTCTGCCAACCTGACTTGACCTGGTCCTAAGACTATATTTTAAAGGCAATTCACTAAATTCATGTTTGGACTGTATATCTTACACTGACGTCACAGGGCCGAGGAAATGACAAATACAATGTTTCTGTCGCTTTGACATACATTTTTATGCTGACATCCAGAACATCATAAACAGGGGGAACAGAAGTGCCGGTAAATAATCATAGATGTTGAGCGGTCGCAGCTTGGATGACGAATACACCAAAGCTTAGAGGTAGAGCTTCGCTGTCCATCAGCAAGGGTCCCCCTGGTTTCGAGTCCTGGAGGTGGCGGTCAATATTTTTGTTAGACTTCTCCCGTTTTCAACTTTCCCTCAAACGGATAAAATAATTATTATCGTGATAAAATTTTCTTGGCGTGGAGCTGTGTTCCCTCCTCTCCCGCCCACTCGCCCAAATTTGTTTTGTACGTAAATTTCATACTTGCCTTGCATGCTGTGATTATGCACGGTTGTTGGCCTGACCGGCTGGCACAAGCGAAACTTCCTCAGCTGGTTAAGTTTCTTTTAAAACACATCGTAGTGCTGGGGGTAATGCAGGTCGTGCGAACTTTACTTTATTTGTCTGCTCTCATACGAAGCGGATTTCGTCCAGCCGACAAGGGTGTGTGTCGACATGTTTCTGTGCACACGATCATTTTCTGTTGCAGGGTCTCTAGTCTTAGTGATGTTGGAGCCTACTGCGTACTCCCCCCTCCCTCCTCCTCCCCCCCCCCCCCCCCCCCACACCTTACCACTACCCCCTCCCCCCCCCCCCCATTAAAACATATGAGCGATTACACATGCAGTACTTCAGTATTGGTCCACACAATATACTAAGAAACAACACACGCAAGTGCAGCATATGCCCAAGGGATATACCCCCACCCCCCCCCCCACCTCTTGAAATATTTCCCCTTTATAGGTGCATTAATAAAATTTCGGTGTCAGGGACCTGCCAGGTTTTAGGTGTAATATAGAATTAGGTGACCAGCATTTCCCGTCAGGTTTCTCTACCGAACTCACCGAAATTAAAGTTTAATACACCGAAAATAACGTGTTTTACCGTACTACATGGGTAGATACTGAGGAAAACACGTACCCGTCGTGAATCAGGTGCAGCAGAGCGTTGCATGTATCGCATACTGTAGTGTCTTGTATTAAAGCCTGTCTCATACATGTACATGTAAAAGCCCGTTTTGAATACCAGCCTGATTTTCAAGACACATCGTCGGCACATAAGCCTGGTTTTAGTGTTGACACACATAGAGGAACCTAGTTTGAATAGAAGCCTGATGTGAATACGGTAGATGCCTAGCGCTGACATCGGCTTCTGCAGGACTACGCCTGGCTTTAATACGCGACATGACGGTATTTATGCTGCAGCACGATTGGCCGCAGAAAGCACTGCCCACACGTGCTCGCTCACTAGCTGACCAGACGGAAACGAAACAGGGACTCCCAACTCCAGACTTTGATCAAAAAGTCAGTACGTACTTATTACCGCGCTTGGAGCACTATTGGAATGCAAGCAGAATCGAGTGGGGCTAGTGTTGTGTATGGTGTAATGAATTGCAAGTATGTGCATTGGTGACGAGATCAGTATGTCCACATGTCCATTAAGAATAACAATAAGAAAATCTGCTTAGCAGCCTGGTTCAACAACAACAACAACAAAAACACCTAAAAATTGTAAGGAAATATGCGAAATGATCAACTCCATTTCAAGACCTTGCTCTTGGCTGAGCTGCTTGAAGTGGGTTTCATTTCCATGCCTTCCTGCTTCTTCAGGCCCGCCACCTTCTTTCTCTTCGAGTGGCTGACAAGACCAACTACAAGGAGGAGGAAGGCAGCGCCACCCGCAGCACCAGCAATGATCATGGTTGTTGAATTATTGCTCGTGCCACTTGAGTCAGCTGCAAGGAAAGCACGATGGTAGGAAAGGAATGTGCAGATATGATGATGCTGCTACCGCTGTGTGTGTGTGTGTGTGTGTGTGTATTCGTGTGTGTGCGGGTGTGTGTGTGTGTGTGTGTGTGTGTGTGTCTATTCGTGTGTGTATGTGTGTGTGTGTGTGTGTGTGTGTGTGTGTGTGTGTGTGTGTGTGTGTGTGTGTGTGTGTGTGTGTGTGTGTGTGTGTGTGTGTGTGTGTGTGTGTGTGTGTGTGTGTGTCTATTCGTGTATGTGTGAGTGTGTGCACATGTTGCAGATTTGTGTATGAACGGTACAATGTGTTTACTGCCATACCCTTGCTCTTTCTCCAGCACCCACACAAGTCACTAAGAACAACACACTGGCCGCAGAGTGCTCTGAAGCGTCCTGGGACTGCCAGAATTCACTGCAAAGGTTGTGGTGTTGGGAGTTTGTATGGTGCCCTGTGAATGCCATGAGGTGCACAGAAGGTGTGCAAGAAGTTGAATGCGAATGACACGATAATAATGACACGGTCCACAGTTTCCGCAAAGTCGGTTTGAATCACCAGCTAGAGCATGTGCGTGGACGTGCATGTAGCGCCGTGTGCTTCCAGTGATGGCACTTGCACTGAGCGAAAATCAACTCGGAACGAAATCACCTGTTAACTTGGTCGAACCCGATTTGGGCCGGGTTCGCCACGAAAACAAAACTCTTTATTTGCGAATAACAGGTTTTGGACCATCACTAATCTATGCTACGGGCAAAATTGGCAAACTCGGATGAAATTCTAACTTTTTCACTGGTTTGAAGGAAAGACACAAACGGGAAAAGGGTGAAGACAAATTTGACTGTCACCACCAGGATTCGAACCAGGGGCCTTCGCTTGAGGCCAGCGATGCTCTAACCATGCACTGAGCTAAGGTTTAGGGCCGGGTTCCACTGCGGCTCTGCTGCTCCGCTGCCCGTCATCCGTGGCTTGAAATGTCATCATTACCATAGTGACCGCGGCTCGAGCTGGAGCAGTGAGGCCGCGGCTCACCGCGAACTTTTGCTACGATTCTTGATCAAAAACTGCGAGCCGCGGTCGCGGCTCGACCTGTTTCCCGTACTTTTCATTGTTTTGTATGCGAGAATTTTAAAATTCAAATTTTATTTCGTTGTGTAGGGCAGAAGACGAGGATTTTTTGATTTCGCACGCGTGCGCAGGCAGGTAGAACGTCATCAAAAAAGCGTGCAGCACGATCGCGGTACCGCAAATGGCGAGTGTCAGTGGAACCGCGCTGCTCCGCTGCATGCAGCCAAGTGCCGCGGAGCAACGGGACCGCAGTGGAACCCTGCCCTTAGCCATCATCCCAGCAGAGAGCGTTCAAAGGCTGATATGGACTCTCCAGGTCAACGTACATGTATTGTAGATCGCAATCCGTCTAATGCAGGGCACTCCCGTCTGAACCCTTCAAGAGATCAGCTCTTCAACGGAACATGGTGTAAACCCTGGCATCGAAAGGTTCCCACATGTAGGAGTAGTAGGATTACATGTACATCAAGTACGGTGTGCCTTTATTACAAAATGGAAATAAAATTCAAGGTTCACCTGAGACTCAGGTAGATTGAGATTTCGGCATGCGTAGGAGCGCCACCACCCTTGCCTTGGCCTCTAGGATCAAAGCGCAGATGCAGCTCCTAAGCAGCAGGGAGGTGAATAGATCAGGCCCACCTGACCACCAAGTGGTGCTGAAAGACCGAAAGCCGGCGGTCCCATTCGCTGCATCCATGTTTCCCTCAAGCCAGGTCACGGGTTCCAAAAAGAAGTCCTAAAGATGTTCTGCACATTTAAATTTCAGCCTCCATGGCTCCAACTCCCTTCCGTCAAGTACTTTAAATTTTCTGTCTCTGTTAGGCCTAGGGTATTGCCTGTATGAACTGTGTGATGTCTCTGTTAGGCCTAGGGTATTGCCTGTATGAACAGTGATGTCTCTGTTAGGCCTAGGGTATTGCCTGTATGAACTGTGATGTCTCTGTTAGGCCTAGGGTATTGCCTGTATGAACTGTGATGTCTCTGTTAGGCCTAGGGTATTGCCTGTATGAACTGTGATGTCTCTGTTAGGCCTAGGGTATTGCCTGTATGAACTGTGATGTCTCTGTTAGGCCTAGGGTGTTGCCTGTATGAACTGTGATGTCTCTGTTAGGCCTAGGGTATTGTCTGTATGAACTGTGATGTCTCTGTTAGGCCTAGGGTATTGCCTGTATGAACAGTGATGTCTCTGTTAGGCCTAGGGTATTGCCTGTATGAACAGTGATGTCTCTGTTAGGCCTAGGGTATTGCCTGTATGAACAGCGAAGTCTCTGTTAGGCCTAGGGTATTGCCTGTATGAACAGTGATGTCTCTGTTAGGCCTAGGGTATTGCCTGTATGAACTGTGATGTCTCTGTTAGGCCTAGGGTATTGCCTGTATGAACTGTGATGTCTCTGTTAGGCCTAGGGTATTGCCTGTATGAACTGTGTGATACTACATCATGCAAGTAAATATTCAGCCACGAC